TAGTTACGGGACAATTTGTGTAAGCTTGTTTGTTTTTTGTGTGTGAGCCTAACTGTCGTGTTGGATGATTTGTATGGTAAGTTGGGATGTCAGATGGTCATGCCTCTCACTTTCCTCATTTGATAAATGAGGTCTGACAACTAGTAGATTTCTCAGGCGGGGCCATGGCCTCTCTGAATTCAATGTCATACACTTTTGGACATTTCCAAAGCATTTGCACCCTCCGCTTCCAGGTTCCCCATAATCCTGCTTTTTACGTTCTTAAAAAGAATATTATTTTGAAACTTTAGAAGTAAAGGAATGGATGTAGAAACAAAGTTTTAGTTTTAAAAATTAAGGAATAATCTGATATCAAAGCAGCTTCCCCAGCAAATGATGAGGAAGCTGGTGGACCAAGGGTTAAAAGGGTGCAGTGAGGCACACGCACGTTAAAGCTATATTTATGCCAGGAACAGGTACTTCCAGTGCTGCTGAGATAGCCCAGGTAGCATTCCTGTCTTTCAGCTGCAGGATCCAGCATTTAAATGATGGTGCTGTTGAGAGGTTTGGGGTTTGTAGCCGCTTTTGGTTGTAATAACCAGTGAGTTGGAGCATGAAAGTTAAAGAGGATCAGCTGTCAGAGGACTAGCTGAGTTGGCTGTCATGATTCTGCCCCTCCCACTTTTGGTAATGTTCTTAATTAAAACCCTTTCTGAGTTGTGTCACTGATGACTGTTACATGCTTCTCTTATGTGGACTGTACAAGCCTTGTTTAAGCTTGGTGATCAAAATGTGCATGTGAGGAGGCAGTGCATGTCCCAGAGAGTTTGCAGGCTGGCTGGGTGGAGAAGATGAAGACAGAAAGGAACTATCACTATCTCCATGGCACAGATGAGGAGCTGTGGTGTGAAGATACTGAACGCCTTGACTAAGGTGAGAGAGGGAGTTTGGGAGAGGCAGGAGCTAGATCTGTGTTTTTTGAAATACAGTTCTGGGTTTTAATAAAAATTAATTAAAAAAAATCCTTATCAAATGGAGTTTGAGAGGTAGGAGGACATCAGGAAATTCAAATGAAAAGAGAATAGTTGTATTTAACTTAGGTTATTTAAAGGGAAGACTTATGTTACACTGCATAGTTTCAAATTTGTGACTGAACTGCTTTATAGCAGTAGGAATTGCTCTCTGTGGGTGTTTTATTTCCCATCAATCCTTGCGTTGGATTCAGTTTGTTAATCAAGAAGACAGCAAACAAAATGCTTCAATGGTGGTCACCAGGGGCCTGCAGTCAGCGTTGCATACACTCAGATGATGCGTGTTGCTCAAAGGCCTTGGGGTCTGAAATCGATGCAGAGAGCTGCCCAGGAAGAGACTGAGTAAAACTTCCCAATTATCTTTTTTTTCTTCTTTTTAATTCTTTATCTATTTCCCTTCCTTGATCTGAAGATTGCATTTTGCAATATTTCTGCTGCTTTGAGTTGATGGAACATCGGGAGAAAATGCTTCCCCAGTTTCTTCCAAATCTGAAATCCCAAGTAACATCCTAGTTTTGAAATTCCTTGCCCAGAGGATACCAGCATCCCTCTTGGCTGCTTGGTGATCACCCTGCCTGCCAACAGCAGTGCAACCAGCGTGATCAGATGAGAGGGCTGGGGAACAGAGACTAGTCCTTTTCGAACTTACTAAGCTGGGCTCTTGAGTTATCAAAGAATAGGGACCAGAGGCCTGATTCTGGATCTTTACTTGTGCCGTATACATGGCACAAGAAAGTCCTACTGTCATCTCTGCTTTTTCTACATCCTTGAAATATGGGTCTTGTGAATGAATGGTGGCAGAGTCATAACTGGTCTTGTCTGTTCCCTGCACACATAAGCACGCGTACTCACCGATTTGTTTTAGGTTTTTAACCATTTCATTTTCCATAGAAGCACTATAAAAAATTAACTATACAATTATCTCTTAAAAAAAAAAAAAAACAAACCAAAAACCAAAACAGATCTGGTTTCTGGAGCCAGGGACACCTGTGAGCCAAGCCAAACTGGTCCATGGCAAGGTGCACCCAGCGGCTGCGACACCCGGAGCACTTGGGTGTCCCTGGTGGCTGTGGCACCCAGAGCACCGGCTGCTTCATGCTGTGGTTCCACAACGTCACCGGGGTGCCGGAGTGTTCTCCTAGTTACGGAGCTGCTGGGGCAGCAGCTGGCCTCTGGAATGCAAATGCCTCCGCTACCTGGGCAAGCCTGAGAAGACTGATATTTAAACATCCCTCTCTGCTGCAGATCTGTTTATGTTTGTACATATCTATTTTTGTAAAATTCCCCCAAATTAGGTATGTGTTTACTTTTTGCCATCATCTAATCAGCAACTCAAAGGGTAAGTTGATGTTCTATATTTAGTCCAGATATTCAGTAGAGATGATTAGGGATGTATCAAAGAAGAGGTGATTTTTTTTTTCCCCTAGGATTTCTTAATGCTCTCTCCTTCTTCCTGTATTAATGCAGCTTCTGCCTCTGCTCATGTTTCTCTGTGCAACCAAGAAGCATGTCGGTGAGAGTATTTGTGTGGCTTTCTGAACATATTTATTTGAAATAATTTGCCTCTAGAAAGTGATTATGGTCTGTTTGCCATGAGAAGAGTAGCTGCAGTCCTGAAATATCAAATGTTTATGGAAGATGACATAGCAAAGCTGTTTAACACATGGTACACAAAACAGTGATTCTAGACCTTTTTTTTT